TATAGTTACGAGCTAATTCCAGACACTTCGAGGTTTGTCGTTGGAAAACAACTAACACACCACCACCAATGGGATTCAAATTGCATAACTTGGCAGAGGCGCTTCCTCGCGTCCGATTTCGAATGATGCCTCAACACCGTTTTACCGACCACTAGCACTGGTTGGCTGAAAGCACTGTTAGGTCACGATGAATCAGACGTTTCATGATTGGAGTCTACATCCACAATCAGTGCGTTCTGATTGGATGAGCCTCATCCACTAAAATTCTCTAACAAGTGCTGCGCACTCAGTCGTCGTCAGTCGACACTGCTGCATTGCCAGGCTCGAGAGAACCTGTTTAGCACACTGCACGACTGACCAAAGTCGTCGTCTTCGCATCTCCCGGCCTCGAAATGGCTTGAGTAACAACTGACCATAGCTTGCGAGGATGTCGCGAATCCTGTTCATGTCTACTACTCTTTACACCTCCCCACCAACTATGTCCGAATCCATGACGAATTGGGGTTCTTTTCCGATACCACAAATGTCTTCACCTTCGTTGCATTCAAACGCTGCTCTCTTTCGGAGGGATCAGTGTGGATCAATAGACAACTTGAGTCCGGTGTGAGTGCTCAGAGAACGAAACAGGCGCTAGACGAGGCAGGTGATTTGATGGGCGAGGTCAGTCTGCGTGTGTCTGGGAACACGTCAGGTGCGAGAAACGCGGAACGCTGAGCGCGGCTGAGCCTTCCTTATTGGCATTTCAAGCCTCGAACTCGTGGCACCTTGACGGCGTCATGCAGATGAGTCAACCGAACTCGCTCCACCTTCTCAATCTCACCCCACACAATCGGTGACTCACACAAGGAAGCATTCACTAGACCGATGGAAGTGTGGCGACAATTTTGAACGCTGACAAAGCCACCATGGCAAGCGGAAGTGCTTGTCCAATCATGTCCCGAGTGTTGTTCAAGTATTTGAACGTCGAGTGTACGAACAGAAATGCCCTCGTCCCACCGAAATGCCATTTGGAGCTGTGGGTGAAAGCAATTGTCGCGAGATTGAGCACACCGTGTGGTCTTCTCCCAACGATGGATGTTGAGAGCCGTAAAATCTAAGTGCCGTGTTCACTAGCAGTACGCGCTAGTGGTGTCATGCATTGCACTTCAATTCCACACAAGGTCTATTTCGAAGCAGACGATGATGCTGCTCAACCAACTTCGTGTGACTCACCCTCGTCATCGGTTGATCCGTGACCTAGCCCATGTTTAGTGTAAGGGTTGTGTTCGTCCAAGCTACGAGTTCAATAAAAGTGCCACAAGAAAAGAACCCAAGTTCACCAATTTCGATATTTTGGTGAGGCGAACACCACAGATTGGGAATGAAGTGCGTCGCTTGTAACAATGACAGGGTTTTTTGCGATTGATGACTGACGTGTGATCAAGCACATCACAGTGTGTCTTGACATTGCGCAACCCAAGTCAATCAACTGTACTTTCTTCCATAGCAAGAATCTCCTCACCAGCCGTGATCCACGCATCGATTAATGAGGGCAACATGTGAAATATTAAGACCCCAAGGAAAAATGACCACGACTGTGCGCGAGAGTGGCGAATTATCACGATGTTTGCCTGTGAATGCAAACCACTCAACATTGCATTAACCATGCTATGTTAAAATTTCTCAAGTTAGAAGTCGGTTCTCTCCGCTGCCATCTGACTGATTAGTGACGCTAACTAAGGAAATGCTTCGTGGGAATTCTAGTCTTTATGACTTACTTTGTAATATCAGCAGAATACAAGTATAAGGTGTGACAAAAACCAACGCATGTTATATTTTGACGTTTGTGGCATTCAGACAGCAAAAGACCACCTCTCTACAACTGTTGAGGTGAAACACTTGACCTGCAGACGGAAACGGACATTGTGGCAAGTTCCATGTTGGGCACGATCCCCATTGGACCACCAAGTTTGTGTTGTTCAATTTTGTGGTTGGGAATGCTAAGCAACTAGTTCACGGGCTAGTTAGAACTCTGCTTATCCGAACAAATGTGGCAAACAGGTTGGTGGAATACTGGACGTGCTACGACACAACCTCGACGCCTTCCAAACTCGCAGTTAGGCATAACAATGTTGAGCCCATGCTGTCCGTCAACGTGGTGCCTCGCCATTGGTCAATTAGGCCTATCCTCAGATGTGCCAAATGGCTACACCAGATGCGACCAATTAAAATTTCAGAGTGGGACTCTTGAGGCATCGGCCGTAGGCTAACAATCAGAATGAATGTGATTAGTTAAGTAGACGCTGAAAATAGCTTCCGCGGGCAACGGCAAGTGGATTAGACCTTGATAGAGTCAAGAACGACAACCGAAACGGTAACAGAATGAAAAGAATGAAAATGAGATTGGAAGCAAAAATGACTTGATGTTTGTTTTATTAATAAACGCAGCCTACACACAGATGCACTTAAAGCCATTAAGCATAATGAAGGTGAGTAGATTTGCAATAAATGAAATAGCCTCCATGGGCATCACGGAGTTACTCTAACCAATCTATAGGTCTAAGTAGGGAACTAAACCCAGAAAAAGTTCTGTCTATCTAATTTTTGTCCGTGAACCTCCTAAATTCTGTTGTTAATATAACATTTGTTGCGTGGGCTTGAGATAATAAACATCCCCCTTAAAATTGAGCATAACCGTGGGTATATGACTTGCGTATAATCACGATGTTTATGTGTGAATCTGAACCATTCGACATTAATCGATGCCTTACATGAGTAAATCGAATACCACTGATTAAAGGGTCCGTCTTTCTAATCATCAAATTTTTTAACCAAATTATTCTAATCGTAGGTGGTTCTAATCATACCAGTATTCTAAATTTAACTGACTAATGTGGAGGAACGGGCTATAAAGCTGAATTTTTTAATCGTTGTTATAATCACACAGGTAAACGGGATGGTTTTAATGTATGAATAGCATTCAAGTTTGCATTTTTTCATGCCTATTAAGCTCGAAAGCATTTTTGGGATAACTAATGCAAATTTTGCAGGGCATTGGCGGTCGATTCTCACATTCGTTCTCTGCGGCACCGATACCCTTCTAGACATATACATTTTCATATTTTATACCACCAAAATAGTCCAAATTAATTAATATAGCTATTATTTTACCTCCAATTACTTCTCCTGGTGGTATTTACCCAATTTTTAAGATTTTTAGGACATTTATACATGGCTAAGAGTTTCTGTCATTGACGGACACCATTCATTCACACTTGTCATCTCCACCCAAAAGCTGCAGCAAACTGTGATTTTATATTCAAGAAAAAATCAGCTGTGCTAATTACATTGACAACTTAAGCCATATACATATTAATATAAAATGTTGATTTTAAGTTGAAATTTTATGAATCTAAGTGTGAATAATCACGAATCTGGGCAAATTTAATTTGGTTAATTGAAGTCATTTCGAAATCAGTTGCATACTTTTAAAGTTTGCTTGGCATGGTATCGTAGCCACGAAATTCCCAGTCATGAACCTTGGTAACCCACCTATGTTTCGCGATCGAGAGTAACATCCATTAATAAAAGAGCAATAAGTGAATGCGGTGACTTCCTGGGAATCAAAAAAATAATTTTTTTTTCAAATAAAAATTAATTTGATCTTACACTGCGAATTGTTTAGATGTAAAGAAAACACATTCCTTTAATATTAAAATATTTCCTGGTTTGTTCCCATGATCAAGTGTCACATATTTATCACAATCAGAACTCTTGCAAAAAAGTTCAGCAGGTATATTTTTTAAAAATGTCCGTATATATGGGCCTGAAAGTTGGAATCTAACAATGATTTTTTTGTCAGGCATATTATCTCTTCTAATCAAGGGAATATTTTTTAATAACTTACACAGCAGCGATATTTGATTCACATGGCCGGCGCGCTTGTAGAACTCGTGTCCAGAACGTGTGATTTTGTGAGGAAAGCCTTCCTTTCGTATATTTCTGTGGTTTTACACCTATGAATGGAAGAGGAAGCAGTGACTAAGCTTACTTGTGTTTAAGTCTTGTATCTGGTACTTGTCCTGTTAACAAATGAGTGCCATTTTTTGGACACATCCTAAAATAATTAGTGTATTTTTAATTCAGTTGTGTTTTGATGGTTAAATCATAACTTTTTAGGTACAAATTTTCACAACAACCCTATGTAGTTTTATTTGTGGCGCCTGTGAATAATGATTTAAGCTTAATTGTTATTTTTTTCAATTCAAATTGTTTGGTTTAGTTACCGTTATAAGAAACAGCAAGCGATTCTCTGTATCAAAACTCGGCATCAGAGACGTTCCTGCGCTTGTCTTTGTTTTCCACACGCATATAGTGTGGCATGAGACTTGTACTTTTAAACTGTAATGACATTAGTCGGCAACTGAGAAACTTCATACATTTGCCAACTGCTTTGTATCGTCTTTCGAAACGTGAATTTTCAGCCGTTCGTGATAAGAAACACAAAATGTTGATTCTGGGCAATTCTATGCTCGTGACTTTAAAAAATGCTGGGCGCCTAAAATTGTTCTCTTTTCTATGCTCAACAAATTTGCACAAAATGTTTTTTTTCTAAATGTGGATGTTCTGCTTAAAACTTATTTCTTTGGTTCACAATTTTTCGAAGCAAGTATGATTTGAGTTGTTCTATGGAAACATGCATTAACGCTTTGCGAGAGCATTTAATCAGTTGAGAATGAGCTAGTTTGGACTGATAGAGTTGACACGCCTGGGTTATTGCAAATAATTTTTTTTTCATGATACAGAGGCAAAAGTACATGACCTTTTATTATCATACTCCAAGCCTAGATTACATGAATTATGCGCACAAAAGGCAATTAAGGTTGCTTTATGTGTGTGCCTCTTACCTTCTCCCAACGAGATGCGATTTCTTCTTTTATTCGCCGATTGTATGGCTAAATATCACTCAACATTGCTGCTAGTGAATTCGCCTTTTTATTGCTGCTTTAGTGAAGTTATTGATGCCTAAGAGGAAAATCAGTGGTGCTGATGAAGCGGAACCCACCAAAAAGCTGTAAGCGCTCCTCATCACTCCCTGTGGTGCTTTTCATTTTTTTCCTGGTGGTTTGCGTTATTCATTTCTCTCACAACTGGTCGCGGGATTTCCACTTCAGTAAATCGATAAGTTCTCTTTTGAATTTTCCGTGTCCTGAAACAACACTGTCTCAAAAAACAGCGCTTTACATTATTTTAACTCACCAGTTTTGTCGTGTGTGGCTGTCACACTCGGTTTTTTTTGTTCGAAAATCCGGATTCTGTTTTAGTGATCTTATGTGTCGCTAGTGTGAGTTTATACCTCAGAATCCCAGTTGAAAACTGAGGAATCTAAAAAAACTGCCGATTGTGTCATCGTACTGTAGCAAGTGTGGGCGAACACGATTCAATCGATTTACGTGAATGCACTTCGCGTAGCTATACTCATTCAGCGATCGATATTGGTCGATCCTATATAAACGAAAGAATTCCTGTATCTGGCCGTAACAGTACATGTCGAGAAGCCCACGCCAGTCAATGAACCCTCTGGACGAAATCGCATCCTGTAGTGTAGTGTAAGTAGAATTGAATTCAAAAGTAATGCCCTTAAATTAACCAGCAGATGCGAGGTAATGCATTGGCTGCTGAGAACTTCATGGCCAATTAATTTGCAGCCTGTTAGTAGCATTCACAAGTAGTTTGATGACGAACAGGGTCTGAGGCGTGTGTAAGACCAATTGCGTGTGTAGTGTACTGTGCAGTGTGGGTATTTTCCGGTTGACACATCCATTGTCGCCATTTTAGCAAACAAACCACCCTCGTTGGTGTCTCTACCAATGTTACCGACGGAGCCTGGCATCAGAACAGTTCCTTGTTGACCTTCAATCCTCCCGAGGCAAAGTCCTCGTCGAAAGTGAGTCCTCTCACTCGCTCGCACGGCCTCTCCTCACTGTAGGTTCTTGCGCTGGATCTGGACGGCACCATCATAGTGACGGCCTCGGGCAAGGTGTTTCCAAAGAATACCCACGACTGGAAGTAAGGCTTGTTCCTAACACGGCTCAAACTAACCACTCAATGCGTAGACTCTTCTCAAAGAAGGCGCCAGCGATTCTTCAGCAGTATGTCGAGGATGGCTACTTGATTGTCATCGTCTCCAATCAGGTACGTTGGCGTTGTTTGTTTGTGCACGCTTTCGTCGTCGTCGTTGTGCCACTATTGAATGTCTCTTGAACCTGTTGCAACGTGAATTTCGATGCAGCTCATCGGTCACATCGAGCACAGCGTTTGGTGTGTGTGTGTGTGTGGTTTTTTCGGAATTTAGCGTCGATTTGATGCAACCTTCGGCTGAGCTCTTTATTGAGTCGAATTTGGGGTTATTTGTTTGAGCTGGGAAAGTCACTAAAACTAAGGGACCTTTTTAGGCTCATCACATCGGAAATCAGTTCTGGGACATCGGCCCAGAATGTGTTTGAAGACGTGTGCAGTGAAAATTTGCCAAGGTCCCACGTGACAGACACGACGTGGTAAAAAGAGGCCTGTAGCCATGCGTTTAGACCTAATCTTTGAGCTGCAATGAAGGCAATAATGTTGTGGAGTTAAAAGCAGAGTACATGGGAATCGAGCCAAACGGAGGAGTTTTGTCGCGTGAATGGACCTGCTGCCACTAGCCTAGCATCAGTTCACTAACCTATATCAGTTCAGTTCATGAGAACTTTGCTAAAGATGGCAGTGGGGCCGGCAATTCAGTCCAGTACATGCTTAAAATTTGTGGTCTTTTATGTCGAAACTTGCGTAACCGCAGCCTGTTGTTTTTTTTTCACGAGACCAGGCCGGTCTGGAGAAGAATTCGGCCAAGTTGATTGGCGAGTTCAAGGCGAAGGTGGAGGCGGTGGTGGCGAGGCTGGGCGTGGCGGTGCGGGGCTACTTTGCCCTGAAAGACGACATCAACCGGAAGCCTCGAACGGGCATGTGGCAGGCCCTGCAAGCAGTAGGTTCTCGTCTTTTGTCAAAATTCACGCTCCTCTTGAAAGGCCAACGACGGCGTTGAAATCGACAAGGCAGCGTCCATCTACTGTGGCGGTGAGTTGGTCAAGTGCGGCCTTGCCGCGTTCGGATGTAGTGTGAGAGTGTGGGGTGGAGTGAGAGATCCCTCCTGCCGAATGTGGCGAGTGCTTGCGGCAAGGTTTCTCGACAGTAATCTCCCTAAAATGTTGCTGTTTCGTATCGATAAATAAAAATTGTCTTTGTAGATGCCGCGGGCAGGGAGGCGTTGGGGAAGGTGAGGAAGGATCACTCCCACTGCGACCGTTTGGTGAGTCGCTTTTGCGCCTTTCGTTGTTGTGTGGTCGCACGCGCACTCCACTTGACGGTGGCAATTCCACCATTTCAACGTCCATTGAAATGGTCGTCATTCAACAGGCTGCATGTTACTCTGCCAAGCGCAATGGACGATCCCTGGGAAGTTGGAAATGTGGATCTGGGGGGGAGGGTTATTACATGCATTTTTGTCACTCCGTTTGGTGAATCTCGCTCCAGCATTCGATAGATCATCCAACACGCTTAATTGAGGTGTGTGTGTGTGTGTGTGGTATGCAGATGGAACGCTGAATGCCATGATTCGGTTTGTGCCGATTTGTTGCTATAACTAGTCATCAATGCCATCTACCTATCGGTTGTGATCACTGGACATCAACCTCGAGACGTTGAAGAGCGTTTTGGCGTCCATTTACTATCACTGATTTTGGAATGGCAGCAGTTTGTCACATTCCACCGAAGAACAACACAACAAGAGTCGATATTTGTGTCAATCATGCTCCCTTCAAGTTGTCATGCACAGTGGATCTCGCGTTCGTGTCGAGACCCGCGTTCTCAGCTAGCGCGAGCCTCTAACCCGTGTCATTAGCCAATCAGATATGATCATTAGCGCCATCGTTCCTCGTGTGGAACAGAATGATCCTTTTCGATTCTTAACACTTTGGAGGTGGCTTAGAAGCGCACAATTGTCCAAATTCATGACCAATCGTCAGCACGAGTAGAATGTGATGTTGTGCACGGCGTAATGCCACGAAGAGTTCGTTGTGAGTTGGTGAAGATGCCTCGATTTTGTACTAGTTTGCAGAGAACGTTGGAATTCCGTTCAGAACGCCGGAGGAGTTTTGGGAGGAGCCAGAGGCGGACTGCCGCGACACCTACCCCCTGACCTTCGATCCGCGGACGCTTCTGTCATGTGCCACCAGCTTGCCGCCTCTCGCGATTGGCACACCGACAACCCCCACTCTCGTTGTCATGGTTGGATTTCCTGCCTGTAAGGTCTTCTCTCTCCAAGTCGTGCATATTTCACATCCGCTCGCGTTCGAGTCCGTACCTGTTAGAGTCACGAGTCCAGACAAATACTGGGTTTTAAGAAGTGTTCGATGAATAGAACCTGCGAACACGTGTAAAATGTTAAATATTGCGCACTATGATGTCATATATAACCCGTTGAAAGTGTGTGAATCAGTGTCAGATAGAGTCTTCGATTATGTTAGTTTGCAGAAATAATGGGGATTCTATTCAGAAAGCAAGGAGTTGTTGTGGCTAAGGTCAGAGGAGCACACCCCTGACATCAATCCGAAGATATTTTTGGCACCCCAACGAGGCCTACCCCCGTAGTACTTCGTAATCTTAGAAAAACACGACCATTGTAGTACTCAAAGAACCGTTTTAGCACACTTGTGACGCATCAGAATGGATTCATGACAAGATGGATGATTCCTTCGTTGGTTACATCAAATCTGAGTCAGCTTGATTCAGGAGCCATGTGAACGGGTCTAAGCAGATTTGAATTGCTGTAAGGTCTGGCGTAATCGCAGGTGAACTTCAGCGAATGTAACGAGGGATTCAAAATAGTTTAAGCATTGGACATTTGGTAAAACAAAATTTTAAACCGCACCGCGCCCTTGCGACAGACAGTTGTAACACCAAGTAAGCAGAAATAATAAATACAAATGATCCCCAATTGCTCCAAAGCGTCCGTCAGACCACCATATTTAGTACTGCTCAGAACACAAGCTGATATTTGACCCTGTGTTTAATGTCACGATGATGCACTGGTAGAATTATACATAAAACGCATTTATTAGTAGAATTATGCATAAAATATACACCAAAATTACATGCGCTGGCACACCGACAACCCCACTCTCGTTTTCATGGTTGGGTTTCCTGCCTGTAAGGTCTTTTCTCTCCAAGTCGTGCATATTTCACATCCACTCATGTTCGAGCCCACACAAATTATCACAAATGGCGCCTGGTGGTTAGCAAATCATCGGCTTTTTCGTTTGTTCATTTAAACAAATGTTGCATCGATTCTGATTTCTCATTGCCGGTGTTACTAAATACCTCTCGGAACCTAACAACAAGCGATGGGTGATGGGTTTGGTAAATGTGGTTGGTGTGGCGCCAATGAAATTTTCGTGTTACTTTTGACGCTCCATGTCTGCAGCACCACTTTTCCAAAAACAGCGACGGTTCAAAGGCACCCTTACAAGTTCCTGACAGTGATGTTCTGCTCTCGCTTTCAAAGCAGCCATGGTTTGTCCTTCGCGCGTTCTACAGCCCCTTCTGTTTAATTTCAGCTGGCAAGTCGACCTTCTGTAACAACCATCTCCAGCCGCTGGGTTTTAAGATCGTCAGCAGGGTACGTTGGACACTGCGGTGACTAGTTGCGTTTCACTCCTTTCAAGATCGGTTATCTTAAAGCTCAGTGGTTAGACCATCACCCATTAGACTGTGAGGTTAATTCGTTCAGTTTTTGGTTTAGTAATTGAACCCCGCTGCGCCTAACTTGCTCCACTATTGCATACTTAGGCGTGGTATGTATTAAAGGTTGTCGCCAATCACTGTGTGCTTTGCACACATAACTGAAACCCACTGCCATCACTCACCTCAAGATGCCTTGAATGCATCACCTAAATTATCACACCGGTGTGGAGTTACACATTCTACTTCACGCCGACAGCTTGTATGTGCGCACACAAAATGCGCTCATTCTGGCATGTTATCTGATTTCGATGACGATCACAAAACGCCGCGATTTGGCGACGCATGTCGGAAGCCGTGAAAGGTCTACTTGAGCGACTTCAGTGGTGGTGGTGGTGGTGGTTGGCGGATCGTCACTCGGTCTAACCCGTATGTAGCTCGCGTCACATGGAGGTAATCCATATTTCACTTTTTCGGCCACACCAAGGACGTCATCAAGGATATGAAGAAGTGCGCCAAGGTCGCAGAGGAGCACCTCTCAAGGGGTTCGTCCGTAGTCATAGATAACACCAACGTGGACGCCGAATCGCGAGCCCCCTTCGTCGGAATGGCCAAGCGACTCGGTGTCGCCGTTTATGCGTGTCTCATGGCGACGAGTCTTGAACACTCACGCCACAACGAGATGGTGGGTTCTGTGGGTCCGCAGTGGGCATGTTTGTGCACTGGGTCATCTGTTTTTATTTGCATCATCGTGTCTACATTTCAGTTCCGGCAGCTCACCTCAGAGAAGCACACGAAGATCAACTCCGTGGTATTTAATATGATGAAGTATGCATTTGGGCATGTGCTGTACACGCTGCGAAATGAACCACGTTTAACGCCTTTGTGTTGTGCTTCATTTCAGAGCGAAGTATAAGGCGCCGACGAAAGATGAGGGCTTCGCTGAGGTAATGGAAATTCCGTTTGTTCCTGATCTTCCTGACAAACATCGTGAATTGTACTTTCAATACCTGTTGGAAAAATGACCTCGGATAATATATTTTTAAACTAGACTATTCAAAAATTAAGTGAATATTTGAGCAGTGTTGGGATCCTCGCCAAGCCGAGGTGTGAATGTGCGGTCTTGTGTGTGATGATGACCATTTTGACGGGTTTAGATCATCGCAAGCGAAAAGCAGTCCACCAAGCACGCATTATAGTTCTTAAAAGGTTCATGCTGCTTTTCCAAGGAATCTCTCGAGTTATTGGCAGCACTGCAGGCCCAAACTAGATCGGATCAGGGGATAAATCGTTGTTGTTGTTGAAGAGAATGACGTTGCCGAAGGTTCAGCCGTTTAGTTTGCCGCTAAATCTGGGTTGGTGAAGATGTGGCATAGAACCAGTAGCGGGCTGTTTTACCCAAGTATCTGCGTTTAGTAACGAGCATGTACGATTATTGAGATAGTGGGGTGTCAGAGGACGGGACTGCGTAGTTCAATAGGGAATTTGTGAATTGCCGCGGTTAGCTGTCATGTGCAACTGGCTGTGAATTATCAAAGGTCGTCAATTCACATGACGCCACCGTAGCCTGTTTCATCCTTTCATCTCAAATACGAAGCTGTTGGAGGTTCGTGTTGGTAAAAAGTGCTAGACACATCATAGTAGTAACAACCATCGCAAGTATGTTGAGAACGAGGATTTAAGCATGCAGCCCTTAAGACACCTTCATTAACTTGCCCGTTCCCGGAGGCGTTCGCCACTGTACTGGTACGTTTCTCAATTATTCTCTCCTGCTACGGAACTGTTGTGTGCGGACGCGGTTCTTACGAGCTACATTTAAGGGCTCCGACATGTTGTCTTGAACCACGACGAGGTTGCGGCGTTGCCTTTAGCACGAGTTCGTTGCACCGGTAGTCTTGAAGTCCACGAACACCTGAGATGGCAGGGGCGTAACCGGTTATTTGATTGGTCGATCTAGTTTCGTAGTAGTCACATGTACTCAAGGTTGTGCGTGACCAGTGCCAGAGAAGTACAAGTAGTGGTTGGAGGGACATTCGCAGAGGTGTGGGTATTGATTGTCAGCAGTGAGTGGGACTCGGGGGCGACTTCTAGTTGTAGGTAGGCATCGACTAGGTTGAGTTCGGCGGTGTGTATCTTCCGCCACTCAGAATTGTAAATATGTCCTCTGAAGCTGGTAGAGGAAAGTGGTGTGGTTCGTGGGCTGCGTTTAGGCCAATGGAGAAGTCAGCGCATGTCCGGATCGAACAATTGGCCTTCTTCACTACGAGGGGGGTAGGACGCCTTTGCATTCAAGACGTTCCAACTCAGCGGTAACGATGCGTATGGGACCGGTTTTTTCGGACGGAAGATCGGTTAGGCGTCAGGAGGGCGGCCTGTCTCGTTGAACAGTGTCTCAATCCAGGTTGAAAACCGTGGTAATCTAATTGATGATGTCCGCGATATTTTCGACATGTTTAGGGCATTGCAGATGGAACTGATCAGGATATCGACCGAACCCAATTGTTCGAACCAATCCAGACCAAGGAGGTGCAGGTTGGCGTTGATGACATAACACTTGCCACTGAAGGTTGTTCCGCAGAAGGACACGCAGCATTGCATTTGGCCTCGGAAGTGAATTTCACCGTCCCAGGCACTGAATACCGTTTCAAAGGTGGCCCTGAGTGGGGGCCGACCGAAGGAGTGCCATCGGTTCTCCGAGATTATGGTAACATTCGAGGCTGTCTAGCTGCAGACGAACTGAATGGCCATTGATGCGGACGGTTGTATACATCCTCTGTTGCTGTGGAGGTGACGCGTAGGCTGAGAGCTCCGACTATGGGGCTGGCTGGTTTGGCTTTTGACCTTTTCTTTGCGTGGAGGTGGGGGTGGCGTCCACTCCTGTTAGACGGGGATGATTGGCAGAATCCGTCCTTGTGACCCTTAGCTTTGCATCGCTGGCATCAGTGCCGCTTGTAAGGGCACAACTTGACATAATGCCAGGCTCCACTTTGCCAGCACGCGGAAAGAGGTGTGTTCCTTGTTCTCCTTCGACGACTTGTGCCGGCTTATTTTCCGTCCGACCTTGGTTGACGAGGGCTGGAAGGGCCAGAAGTGGGAGATGGTTTGGTGACACTCTGGACCACATTGACGTCGGGAGCACTGCAGCCCCCAGCTTGGACCATTCAGGAGTCCTGCAACACGCTTCTCCAATGGAGGTATTCATCGCGGAAATTGTCCAGCGTCACGGAGGGATTTTGATCAATCAAGTGTAGCAGCCGTGTTCGCATTCTCAAATGAGAATGAGAGTTTTGAGTTGGTCATCAGTCATTGATTTGAATTGACTTTTTTCGCACTCTCGATTGACCACTGCCAGATGATCAAGAAAATCGTTTAACTCTTCTATTGCGAGTTTGAGGCATTGGTACCAGGTACTGAACGAGGAGGAGCGTTCTCCAAACATCCTCTTGAGATTTTGAACGGTTTCTCCAGAAGTGAAGTCGATCGAGGACTAGGGAAGGATCGTGTCACTGACCTGGATCTCGAGGTCGACCAGAAACAGTTCTGCGTACCGCCAAAATCAGATTTTCAGCCGGCATGGGATTCCGGAAACTGTAGTCTTCGACAATGGCTCTCAGGTCACATCGCAACAATTCAAGGAATTCTGCCAACAACACGCGATTGCCCACACGCATACTCCACCCTACCACCAACAGTCAAACGGACGGGCGGAAAGGTTCGTCAAAACTTTGGAGCGAGCCTTGCTAAAATCCCGTGGGGAAGGAACGACGTCCGTCGAAGTCTACAGAATTTTGTATCTTACAACACCAAACGAGGCTCTACCAAATCGACAGTCGCCATCTGAGGCACTCATGGGTCGCGAATTTCGGACAACAACCGCCTGGAGCCTCCACGTACGGAATATACCACCCCGTTTGTGACTGGAACAGCCGTGTACGTTCGAGACTATCGACCGAGACGCGACCCATGGATCGAGGGGACGATTGCACGCCGACACGGCAAGGTCACGTTCGACGTGACGGTGGGTCACGACACGTGGTCAAGGCATCGCAACCAGCTCCGATGGAGACAAGGATCTGCGACAACAAATCGCCTGACCAGCGTCCAACAGGATGTGCTGTTCGACACTTTTCAGCTGCCACCACCGGTCGCAATGCTAGTGAAAACGAACGGAGATCAACTAGCAGCGGACAGGTCTTCACCTCCAAGGCAGAGTAGTCGAAAAGGACGAAAACCAACAGTACTCCAAGTCAACTAAAAGAAGAGGCATTACTGGCTCTTCAAGGGGGTGAGGTGTTGAGGATCCAGGATTCCCCAAAACGGCTCATTTCCGGTTTTCGTCATCGTTTATATTAATTCCATAACTATGCCACATCGGCCACACCCTACTTACAACCGAATCTCTGCACGAGGTCTTGTCTTGTCTCGCATTGGTGTGGGCAGGCCGGTTCTAGCGTCAGGCAAGGGATGTGGGTGCCGGTCATTTGATTGGGTATTATCGTGGTTACGGGCAAACGCAACACATTTCCAATCAAACAATGTTAAGATGCTATGGAAGTCTTCACGAAGTCGATAGTTGGTAAATATTGATTCTACTGAAATAAACAAAGTAGCGTGTGTTTTTAACACGAAGATGTGGGCATGCTTTCAAGTGGTCAGTTCAGGGCACACACATGCTGTCGATCATTGCAAACACATAGATCGATTTATGGCAAAAATTCGCGAATATTCAACTGTCATTGGATGCCATTTTCCAGATAATATTGTCGAGGTCGTCGAAGTGTTTGCTTCGCCTCGTTAACATTACACATGCAACAACTTTTCGGAATGTGAGTGTTGAAACCAGTTTGTGTGGCTCATTTGAAGCCTTCAATCCTCGAAAGAGATACTTGACCAATCGGAAGCTTGAAACGAGCACCTTAATAATGTTAGATTTGCTGATAACTACCTGCTTCTTTAGAGGTTACAAATAGCACCTACACTCGTTCTGGAATGATAAATTCCTGAACTCACAATTGAATTTACGATTTACGAAGTTAAAAATCACATGTAACTCCATATTAAATAAATCGATTTTCCATCCAATCATCGTTCAGCTCTGTATTTACATCGATTTTCCTTAACAGTGCGAAAGTCGAGGTGATTTATTCAAACACAAATGGCACTTGCTTAATTAATCGTAAAATGTGTGCTTGAAAATATTTCAGGATTCATTTATTCACATAGTTTATTCGAAGATGATTTAAGTTAGCTTCCGAGGTTCATAAAATTCAAACCATTTCCATCGAAATTCACTAGCCGCCTCCACATCCTTCTGCAAGCGTTGAATTGTTATTAATGTGTCCACTTGGACATTTAAATTGGATTGGTGTTTATGTGAAACCGTGTGTAATTTGTGTGTTTAAATGAGCTCGATTGTAGGTTAGTAACGATAACGAACAAGGGGTTCCTTAGCGCTTTGGAGTGGCGTTTAGTGCGGCACGAGGCACAAAACAGTTCCATCATCAATTACCCTAACTTCAATTAATCAAACCGCTTATTCCGTCTTTCACCCAAGCACACCAAAACCTCCCCTCAATTTTTTCTTCATTCTTCTCTTTTAACTCGCAAGTCGGAATGCCCAATTGCCCGGCTAATTATCGACAATCGCCTCGGCAGAAATTGGAGCAGAACTAGTACTTTTTTTCAAATATGTTAGGAGTGATTGTGTATCATCCGTCTAAATTCCACAAACACCACTTTAAACCGAAAAGGCGTGACTACAAACATTAATTTCCAACAAAACGTATGTGCCAACAGGAACCAATCAAAACAGCATACTTGAGTAAAAATCGATGGTTACGTGTGAAATGGGGTTAGGACTGCCAGTGTGCACGATATTTTATTTTTGTAAACCCGTCTTTTCATTGGTTAAAAGAAGTCATCTGAGATTGGTGGACAAGTATGGCGCCTTTTATTGTTCGAATTCAAAGTGTTTGATTGATTTCAGTAAACGGCTTTAGTCAAATTACGGTCAATTATTAAATATCTGGATGATTTAAAAGTCTCTCGACTTCGTATAGCGTCCTTGTTGCTAATTAGTCGAATTTTCCGGTCACAAGAAATTATCGTTATCGAATATTTCCCACTCCCTCTGTCACATCTACCAGAACATCTCCTTCTTCAGCTATTTTTTTATCTACGGTACATTCTGCTGTTTATTTACGCACACAGCGTGTACATTTCACTGCAGGCGATCTATCAAACGTCCTGCCTCTCCTCCCGATCCCGTGTGAAGAATCACAGCAGATGCAAATTCTGATACGGAGAGTGTAAGTCGCGAACTTTTTGTTTGTTTATAGTAACCCTGACGACGAATCACTTAACTTCCGTCAAGGTCATTCTAGCGATGTTGGTGATAATGATTGATTTCTTATAGTAATTAGGACAATTGTTGCGCAGACTCAAACAGAAATTCGAAAGATGAAGTCACAGCACCCGACTTCTCACCAACCGACCAATAACGTGTGAGCTCCACTCTAAACAATTCAGCCACAGACACAAGTCAGACAGCGATTGGTCAACAATTCTTGATTTGATGCTCACGAAAAACCCAGATGAGGTGGTGAATACTGTGCCTTTCATTGCGAACCTGTAGGATTTTCATTTCAACTCAGCGTAAAAGACTGCTACCAGGTCTTGCGCTACAACTTTGACGTACCAGAGACAGGCCTAACAATACACGCACACACAACAGTTGAGATTTGCAATTAGCGGCCATCAGTCTTATCTGTGATCCTCGGGCCAAGACATGATCAAGATTTTCTGGTTCCTTTAAAAAATGACAATATAGACATCAGACGTTAGCAGTTGGTACCAGTGTGACAACTAATTAATACAGATTCAGATGATGATGGTGATAACAATGACGATGATGACGATGGCAATTCTGGCTAAACCATCACCCAGTAAGTTTGGCTCGCGCCATCACCAATTTGTAATTTTTCCTGTTTTCTTCGTCTTTCATCTGAAATAAATACTGATGAACTCACGCTTCGAAGGTCATTTCAAGGCCACGGCAAGTTCAAACAGGCGGTTAGGTAATTTTGCACAGCCTCTTTTAAACAAGATTTTCTTGCAGATGATGAAAATGTAGCAAATAACATCAAGTTTCGAAACGGTAGCGAACTCATTTCTCAATATTCCACAAAGTAAACCTGATCACAGATTTGTGATCAGATGAATATCAGAGTAAATTTACGCGCAAATATCTTCAAATATCCATGTTGTGTTTTGATGACTTAAACTCCAACATGTTTAAACTCGGCGGGAATTCAAATCAACGCAAGTCAATAATTATGAATTATCCATGTTCTCAAAAAGATATTCGACCAATCAGATTGCGGATCTGCCATCTACGGTGACTAATGCTTCGGTACCAACCAATCATCCACGTGTTTGGGTTCCAAATCGCGATAATTGCAAACACAACTATATCACATGCATTCCAGTAAATGTACGAACATCAGCCGATGGTGTTTGGCTTTGAAACAGCCATCATTCTGCCACAGGCTAATCAGCTATCATGTGCACTATGTTGACACCTAATTTCACATTGGTTTCAAGGCCAAATGGCAGTTCATCCTCACCCACTCAGTAATGCCTCCTCCAAGTGTCTTCTGCGTGCTCTCCCCACTCACCTTCATGTGTTCACTGGTCAACCACCAGCGTCGTCGGGGTGATTTCAGCTACCAAGTCTCTCACCAACTCACACAAGCACTCGTGAACTGCTGTTCCACTCGACCATCGTTCCCACCATATGTTGAGTTTCAAACCCATCACCGATTCCTTTAATGGGTTAAACACTTCCGATGTAAACAGCCGGGTGACGCCTCAAAGTACGTGCTGGTGATCATCGGCCAATCACAGTGCTCCAGATGGCGTTAGCTTCCCTAGTTTGTTTAGTGCACTTCGCGCCAATAAGTGGCCAATCAATGAAGCGATTTCCTTCATTAGAATATCACTCTTCGCCAATCCCCCAACCAGACATACAATCATGCTTCCATTGGATGCCACAACTCGGTCGCTGCCAAGACGACTGCTCTTTTAATTCCATGATGATCAGGGGCTATGCACAACCCTATCCAGTTTAATTCCGTTGTGTCGAAATTCGTGGAACTCATTCATGGATTTTTGAGTTGCATCAAAGTTGATTTAATTGACGTTATTCAGTCATATTACCAGCTGCTCACTTCTAAACAATCGCTTGAATATCGGTCGTTGCGGACCTACCAGTTACCTCTTTCGTCAAATCATTGATCGTTAAGTGACGAGAATGCGACTTTTCACATTGCACTTCGCGTATAGACACTGCACAAAAACATTCTAAGTAAATATTCTTATCAAGATTCTCATCTGCCAGCTTTTGCACTAAAACTATTCCGCATCATGTCATTCGTTCCGTAAAATATGCGGCGACATTGTGGTTAACAACGATTGGTTGCCCAAGTGTACAATTATTCACTTCAAATTATACAATTCGCAAATAAAACGTTTTGGTAGTTTAGCCTCAGCACCACCTCTTGGTTTCCGCCAATTATGTACCAGCAATAAGGCTCAGAGATAATTGGTTGAAGGTGCATCGTAATCAAGGCATTGACTGGAGTCCTGGAAACGCTTAACGCGACGTTGACTTGTGAGGAGAAGTCGACTTGACGCCAATTTGAACCCTCTGTGTGACCTCAATCGCACAGCTGCCATCAAACTTTGCGGATTTGACGTTTATCCAAATAAATGGTAGCCCCCTGGGTCTGGGGAGGAGTTGCAGAGGGGTGGGGGTGTTGATGCAGATGGTCAACGGTTTCGCATAGAGAGGGGGTGATGGTGTTTTGACATTTGCGAGTGTTTACTTTGAACGCTTCACCGAACCGCTGACTTAATGAGGCAGGCACCGATCTCGATTCCATTAACAACAACTTCGAAGGGATTAATGACGTGGGACCGATATTCGTGCATAATCAATTTGCTAAATTCTCAAATTATCGCTGCGGAGTTTTAGTACAAATTTTGGGTGAACGATTAGACTAGGAACGCGTCGACAAGACCAGGTCGGTAGCCTCTGGGACTAGCAAAATTCAGGATGCAAAAAATCGATACGTTTTTAAACGTAATCGATGACCAATTGGAAGCGGCCGCCTTTGTGTAATTTGTCTGCGACATGTTAGTAGCAATCAGAAATGAACAAGCATACTGAAATCGAAGGACAAGTTGTTCATTAATCTCAGTAGCGTGCACATCTATAATAGCACACATTTAACTGACTGATGAATAATGGACTACAGGTCAATAAAAACATACTATTTTTCATGGCAAATGTCGTATTTAATTTGGATTCTAATTGGACAAGAATTACTGTTCTCATATGACCGAGAAAATAACCAGATAAAATCATTTGTCATGTAACTAAATGACCTTGACTTGGTTATATTTGAATAGCTCTCGTGCGTAATGCAAAAGGAATTGATCATGGCACCGACAAGGTTTGACTAATCAGTAATGAACATGGACAAGTCGAGTTCCCAAATTGGCAACTTTTGCATAATTTTAATAGACAGGTGACTGGATCGATCTGCGGTCTCCAGCACTCCTGGCATTCGAGATGGTAGAAATCGATGGGAATTTAACATCCGATCGAAGACCAATTGAAAGAGCCCGCATTTGTGCGAATTATCTGCGAATTAACGATCGGTCGCACTAATATCACCAAAAGCTGACATCTCTAACCAGTCATCATTATCGACTTTGGGATAAATCCTCTCGTTTACGGGAATTTGAACATATCTTGAGTTGACGGCGAAAGGCGAAATCACTAGGACGATTCTCTAGGGTTGTGGTGATGGCAATAATTAGCACTTAAGCGGTTTTCGATTAATCGATAATGACATTAGTGGCTTGAGTATGGAGCCTTTTCAAATGGAAATTATTGGGTCGACTCCCTGTTTGATCTCTGGCTGCGTCTAGGACGCAGGTAATTGAATGATGGCGAGAAATTTACTTTATCAAATTCCACACGTCAAGCCTCTTTTATCATCGGCATAAATCATTCGGCTGCCTAAGGAGAAATTGTCGGGGCGTCGACAGGCCAAATACTTGCTCTTTGCGCGGCTTCTGGTTTGTGTGCGCGTGTGCTAATCACACGCACGGTTGCCGGCTAAGTCTAAGCAGCGGGCTTCCGTGGTTACTTCATGTAAGCACCAACATCCAGTGTTGGTGAGACGAGATGTTTGCTAGCACAAATGAAGCAGTCAGTGTGGGGTCTGTCTACTGTGTGGACGGAATCGAGGCAATAAAAAAAATGCAACGAGACTCACCAATGTAGCTGAAGTTGGGCTTAGGTTCGTCTTCGTGGGTCTTGTGTGAAAGCCGTTGATCTGGTAAGAGAATGGGACTCCCATTGGGCAAGCAGAATGTTCCGCTAGGGCGTCGGAAGAAAGAGAACTCAAAGTCCCCCTCGGTTGGAGTCCTGCCCTTGAAAAAGTCTCCTGGTGGTGGAGGCGGTGGTGGAGGAGGGGGAGGTGGTGGGACCTGAGGAAACGCGGTACCCCCAATGGGGGAGTTGCAGAGGTTGAGGGGTAAGATCTGGCCTCTATCGTCCATGAAGTGTGAGTGCAAGTGTTTACTTCGAATGATTACCGCCTCTAGATGGGGAAATAAAGTCCAGACACATGCACGCACGCACACACGCACACAAACTGACGATGCAGCCAATGGGAGGCCGCCGCGCAACTGTGTGCCCCTCCCATTGTTGTGTTTGCGAGTTTTGTTTGCGCTGCGCGTGCAAACAATCTGGACGCGCGTCGCGCTCACCGCCTATTGGCTGCGAAGTGTATGTGGTCAAGTGCGTGCGTGCGTGCGCTTGAGTGCAAGCGCATGGGTTGGTGGTTGCGCGTGCTTGTGTGTGAACATGATCGGTGCACGCGTGACAGTGATTGATCTAAAGTGGCCAGTAAACACGCGCCACACACACACACACACTCAGAGAAGGAGGTGGTGCGTTTGGACACGCAGGCGGTTTCCCCCCACCACTTCTGCAAGATGGAAACAAGCGGGAAAAGCGAGGAAAAAAACTCTCAACTGCGTGATGAATGGCCTGGCTGCACGTGCGCGCGTGCGTGCTGGCTTGGCCGCACGCCTGTCACACATGCCATTCGCGGGAGTTTGAAGTGCGTTCCTCGCCCGGCTTGAAAGAAGACATGATGGAATAAGTTTAATTATGGACACAGGAACATGCGCCGGCGTGCACAACAAACGCGGCATCGCTCCGTTCCCGGGTGGGGATGAAGGGGGAGACCATGGAAGTGAAAACGAAGAGAGAAAAAAGGTGGATTGGGGCCTGGGACGAGACGAGAACACGTCGAGTGCGCGCGGTAGCGGCAGAATTAATTGACTGGACAAAAGGGAGAGGGCAGTTGGGCTATTTAATTTGTTGTATCATCTTCTCGCGTAGTTTGGTGCCCCGCAATTTGATAAATGTGCAACACAAATACAAGGAAATCGGTAGGAAGAACAGTAGGGAATTCATCCGATGCGCCTGCCACAACTTCAACGCCCTGTCGAGGTAACTCCAGGCGTTTCGTTGACTGGCGTGACCTCAACGCACGTTTTTTAATCTAAATCGGATCTTTACATTGAGTGTATGACTTGTGCTTCGAGCTTTCGCGGTCTTTTGTGGTTTTTAATGAATCAGACACAATGTTTTAGAACACCAAACGACGAATCAACGTGTGTTACATAACCTCTCAGAATAGCAGAGTGGCCGATGGCACTGCACTGCACTGCATTCTAACCGAATTCTAACAGGAAAAAGCGCGCCTAAGGAAGCACTGGCATCAATTTGCAGTGTCCTTCGTGATTGGAGCAGACGTTTTAGTGGTGGCGACTTCGATCGTGGTGACCAGACGCCCGTCGAACAGCGTCTCAACGTAAACACAGCAAGAGATTTTAGCTCAGTTTGGAGTCAGCCAAACAGCATTTGCACCACCAAGTGGGATAAATTTGAAAAAAAACGACGAAAAACGCATCCTACAGCAAATTGTGACGGCTGATGAAACGGAAAATGGTGTCGTGGGTGGATTTCGGATAACCCAGCATATCGCTGCCGAAACAGGACATCCACTTGAAGAAGGGTCTCCTGTGTATCCGGTGGGACTCCTGCAAATTGCTTTGACGGTGACTGCAAACCGCTACAGCCGACTAAAGCCCTTAATCAGAAAAGTCATTTCCTGTGCTAGGAAACAGGCAGGTCATGCTGGTGCATTACAACGCTCAACCTCACGTTGCTCGCCCGACTCATAAGACCCTCTTGAACTTGGGATAGATAGTTCTCCAACACACGGCAGCGTCACCAGACTTGGCGCCATCCGACTACCGCTTGTTCAGGTCAATGCAGCAGCAGCAGCAGCAGCACGCCTTAGTGGATACACAGTTACAAACGCTGTAGACGATGTGCGTAAATGCGTCGATGACATTATTGCCTCGGAGCCTGCGAAATTCTTTCACGATGCCATTCGAACATAACTTGAGAGATGGCACAAGGTCATTGAAACCAACGGACAATATTTCCACAATCAAGTCCTTTGTTATCGTTTTTCTACACCAAATAAGCTCGCTGAAAAATCAGCACAAATTTAATCAAAAGACGATAAATGATCTGACAAAGTTGACTGTGATTTGTTGCAGTTGGTGTAACATTTGACGCGTTATTCTTAGTTCGGCCATTGTTTTAATTGCGATTTCTGCTCAGCGCCAATTGCAATTTGCTCACGGGACAAGCAAAGACCACACAAGTCCAGCGTGGCAGGTATTTGGGCCTTGCATACTTGAGGATTTCGTTGATGAGCATTCCGGAACGTATTTTATTCTCTGGGGATTCGGTGTGTCTGCTCAAAGTTTTGTAGACTGTCATTATCTACTGCTGCTGATGTCGTTCGCATAAATGTGTACGACACTCATGATTAACTGCTCTCATTAACCAATAACTTGGTCCTGAATCTTTCCCATAACAATTTCTCAACCTTTTACAAGCTTCTGTTTTCCCAAATTGAAGAAACTGCGTGGTTTTTATTCAATACATGTCACTGGGTTGGTTTCAGACACTTCGAGTGAATCAATTATTTCCTGCAACTCAAATTATTTTCAGGTATGAGGAAATGATGCAAATGGGAAGGGTCAAGGTCAGAGAGAAACGACGGGTGACCTAGCGTTGTCATGGCGAACGATGTCCTTGAGATAAGCCTAACGTGGATGGAAAACTGGTAGAGTTTACTCCTCTGCAATTCGCTCACCAGATACACAGCACTAATTTCATTGGATGCTGCAATTGGTTCGTTGCCATGGCTTCTGCTCTTTCACTTCCGTTCTTCGAGCTCTTTCAAATATCCAAAACCGCGGCAGGGTTTTCGTACGTCATGCCATTCGTTGCAAAATTTCGCTAACTATTTTTAAGTCTTCAGTTGTTTCAAATCGGCACAGCTAAAGTTGGAACTTCCTCAAAATCTGCGAGTGCTATACGTACGTGCACGTGCGAATAGCAAGGTGGGTTTTGACCAATAAAAACTATGTTGTCACTATGATCCTTGACCAATCAGCACTGCGCATCAAGCACCAGGTCACCTGAATTGGTGAGTATTTGAGACGTAGTAGATTGGAAAAAAGTAATGGCTAATTTAAGTCTCTTTGATAGCCATGTAAATGCGTCTTGAGTCAACATTGCCTTGAAAAATTATTCATTCAGATTGGTTCTGTGCAGCGTCAATATTCGAAAAGCAAAATGCTAAATCACATGTTCGTCATGTGATGTTTACGAAAGGAATGATTGATGGACTTACAGTAAATGTTATTCAAGATGTCTATTTGAATTGTGGGCCGGTTCTTAGGACAGGTAAAAAGTGGCTTAATCGATTTCAAAACATCGATTTTAGTCAAAACGGTAAACACGGATCTGAGTGACCTTCCAGTATCGATAATGCCAACATCCATGACTCAATGAATTACGAATGAGGAGATTGGTGAGGAGTCAAGTGTTGACACATTGACGGCACCTCGTCATTGACAGCGCCTTGGACGCACTTCGGTAAAACGGAACAAACTGGATCGTGTTTCCACAGCCATGTCTCTCCCTACCTAGCAACTAACCTGACCTTTTGCAAACAAGGTTAGAGAAAGATAGTTCGTGATGGAATTGAAAGAGCGAAATCCATGACATCCAATGAAGTGTGATTGGTGGCGAGGCGAAACTACCAAAATGTTTTATTTGAGAATTGTATAATTTGAAGTGAATAATTGAACACTTGGGCAACCAATCGTTGTTGACCACAATGTCGCCGCATATTTTACGGAACAAATGACATGATGCGGAATAGTTTTAGCGCAAAAGCTGGCAGATGAGTACCTTGATAAGAATATTTACTTAGACTGGTTTTGTGCAGTGTCTATACGCGAAGTGCAATGTGAAAAGTCGTATTCTCGTCACTTAACGACCAATGAATTGACGAAAGGGGTAACTGGTAGGTCCGCAACGACCGATATTCAAGCGATTGTTTAGAAGTGAGCAGCTGGTAATATGACTGAATAACGTC